CATCATCATCATCATCATCTTCATCCGCCACCCCCGAACCCCCCCACAGAGCCTTCTGCACACTCCACGTGGGTCAAATGCAGCGCCACGGGTGCTGTGACGGCTGCTTACTCCTCGCTCACGCGGTGGCCTCCACCGAGGCTAGGTACGCGGCAAATTCCTTCGCAGCGCCATCTGAGAGTGTGAGCGATACCCGAACGTGCCCGTCCACCTCGAACTGGTCGAGGAGATGCTTGGCCTTGAATAGCGCCGTTTTGTTCGCGAACACAAAGCGGAAATGCTGGGGATACAACATCCAACACGACATGAAACCAGGGATGTCCTTCAGCTGCTGCTGCACTTCCTTCGTGGTCATACGAGCAGATGTTGTGGCGGCGGCAGTTATCATACCAGCCTGCCGCACATCTGTCTGCTGCAGGCGCTGGCTGTCAGCAGCATCAACGGGATTTGACTCATCCTGCTCCTGCTGGCCGTTTCGCTGTCGCTTGCGCTGCTTGGCTTCACGCAGCACCTCACCGTCCTCCTTGCCGGACACATTCAGCAAAAATTTGGGTGGATGCGTAAAGTACGGCTTGTGCCTGAGCGCCATGGCCATATCCTCCATCGTTGCAAACAGCGTGTCGTGTACCACAGGCCCTTTGACGCACTCTACTACTTCCTCACCACCCGTCTCGACGGATGTTGCCTTATTCTTGTCTTTGCTGTCCTTTTTCTGAATGCCCTTACTGTTCGTATNGCTGTCTTTCTTCTGGGCGTTAGTACGGACGGGGAGGTACACCGTCGCGACGTCGGCGTCTGCCTTGCCGTAGATGGACACCTCCACCGAGCGCGTCTCGGTGCGCGGGGTGACGGTGTAGTGGCATTGCCGCCGAGTCCCCACCGCTGCTTCCGCCAAGTCACCGTCCGCGGGTGTGGAGGGTTGTTGCTGCTGCTGTTGGCCCTGACGGCTGTGGTGGCGACGGTTGTGCTGCTCGTTAAGGCAACAGTACCGCTGGATGGCCTCCTCATGCACCTTCGCGAAGTCATTCTCGACGTTTGTGATGACGACAACATATCGCTCGTTATCCTCCACCGATGGCGCATTGGAGCGCTTACGTTTCCCGGGTGCAGCTGCCCCCTTCTGCGCGGGCCTGTGCTGGCGTCCACCCGCCCTATCACTGCCCTTGCTGGGCGTCCCGCCAACGCGCCCTGTCGCGCCACCCACCTTTCCAGCGGTGCTCGACTCTGCCATCATCCACGGTGTACACCCGTCGTGCTTCCTTCCTTCCTTCCATGCAGTGGGAAAGTAAAATGCGAGAGAAAGGGTGTGGAAAGAAGAGAACCATATCTGGCGGCGCATCAGCAAGGCAAATATCAGTGTCAACTTCACTCAAATACACATACAACCACACCTACGCGCCGTCCCAGACACAGTACTCCAGGCCACTTAGAGTTTATCGTACCGGTACTTTAGCCGCGCGAGCCGCAGCAATTCATTCTTTCCGTTGATTAGTGACGCCAGCATCTTTCCAACAGCTATGTGCATCGCTGGTTGCCAAAGCACAAGCAGCAACTCCATCCAGTTGTCCGCAACGCCAAAGAGTAGCGGTCCCTGCCGCGCGAGGTTGGTATAATACGCATGCATCACATAAAGCCAATATACGGTGGGAAACAGAGCGAGAAAACCCAGTACGTACTGATGCCGCGGTAAAGCCCCCTCCAATAGACTCGTTGTTGCCGTGGAAACAGCATCAACAGGGCCAGAAGGAGTATTTCCTCCACCAGACGACGAGACCGCTCCGCTAGATGTGGAGATGAGGACGGTTCGATCAACATAAAGTGTACGGCGACACACCCGCATATCACAGAGTCCACCCACCGCCAAGAGCAGCACCGAGAACGCAATGGCAACAGCGCCCCCAATCGTCAGCGAAGATGTGGGGCCCAAGAACGACTGTGGCTTGGCGTCGTTAAAGGTGGCATACACGAGCGGGTACCCAGCCAGAAGCATGCTGAGATACAAAACAGCCAGAAAAAGCTGCAGGACCGCGATAACACGCATGAACATGACACCTGAACGCAGCGTACTGGCAAGGTACTCCAGTACCTGCTCCTGCTCCTGCGTGCTCAGTGCATCATCCACCTCGAATAGCCGCTTTGTTCTTGTATCCTCAGATTCCCGCACATTGCGCAGTCGATAACGCATCGCGGCAACTGTGGCGTGGAACTCTAGAATACGCCAGCTGAGAAGGAAAAGAAACGCCCTGCGCAGAGACAGCACGGTTTGTTGCAACACGTTCAGGAGCTACGATGGCAGCAACCACAACACAGACGCCAAAACCAAAACCAAAACAAAACAAAGCAAGTCCAGTATCGGCTATAGACGGATATATTTATATATATTTGTGTAGCTCAGTTAAGCAGTTCGTACGCAATTATGGAAGAAGGCGCCATTTCTCTTTCCCCCACTCCCCTCTTTGCCTCCGCCCCCATCTCGTGCCGCTGCGTCGGCGGCGCATGCGCTAAACGTCAATCGTCTCCGGATCAAGGGGAATCTCGTAGCCCAAGCACCAATGCCACCCACAACACTTCGCAGCGCAGCGCACCACCACTGCAACAACGCGCGGACAACCAAAGGCCATATTCGCGCGCGGGTGCACGAGAGCGCGCCGCACCCGCCATCGTATGACACGCACAAACGTGGAAAACTGAAAGTACAACGTCTCCCTCACCCACGCACAACTCAAGAAGACAGATCCCAGAAGCCGCCAAACAATTGCAATACAACCCACAAGTAACGCGCAAACAAAAAATGACGAGAACGTCAAACTCCTCTCCACTCCTGGTGAGTAACATGACATCGACGTGGCGTGCGTCACGTTTATAAGCAGGGAATGCATACTTCCATCTGGAGTTGCGCGCTGGATGAGTTGCGTACGGTTTATATCATCCGCCGTCCAGTCATCGGCTGCAGAAGTCGTCCCAATCACACTAGCACCGTCGTCTGAAATGCCCAAGAGCGCCGAGATCCACACCGTGAGCCGACGCACCCAATAGGTCAACACGAAAACGGAATGCGAGTTATACATCCATCCTGTCACACGGTCGAAATGCTCCGGCTCGTACGCAACTCTAACGTTAGGGTTCATTAAAATCAGCGGTACCCGACCTTCAAGTAATGCAGCCTGCATAATGTCTTCGCACACCAGCAAGCACTCAGACGACACACACACGTCGTCTCGCACAGTGTACTTCTCGTCTTTAGTGGCACCAAAAGAGGGCACCGCAGAGTGACGGAATCGAATAGCAGGCATTGTGGCACGGTAATATACACTTTGCTCAGAATTGGCATCCGCGAAATCATAGTTTCTCCCATCCCTTGCCATGGCATCAAACTCACCTGTGTACGCCTTGCGAAGAGCGGATGGCACGATCGGCAGGTCAGGGTGCGGAAGCGTCAGACCTGTGCCACGCGCCAGCTTCTGTACCCGAATGGCCCATCGCTCGCGTTTTAGATACAGCCGCTGCAAAACTGTGAGACGGTGGTATCTCGCCAGCTGCTTGTGTGCATTCGGCTCATGACGGTACACCCCTCCATGCCACATTCGTATTTCTTTTGTCATTTTCCTGCTTCTGTTACCCAGCCGTACTCTCGTGTTACCTATATATGAATCCCCCTTCTGTTCCTCCCTTGACGACGTTCGCCTCCTCTCTGTTCCATCAGGCTTCATGACAGGGGAAATAAACAGTCTTCCTCGAAGCGCCGCTACACCATTCCAGCAGCACTTCACTGGAACGGCCTGCCGCCGTCCCTGCGCGGTGTGGGCAGCCGAACTCACGCGGTACAATGCATCTCGCGTCTCGGGTTCGTCAGAGTAAGGCATGTGGGAAAGAAATATATCCCCCACACGATCCCGTGCAACCCATCTGTCGTAAAAGCTGTAATAATAATCCATCCCACACGCCATATCGAACGTTGTCCCTGTTCCAGTAGCTGCAGATGCTGTGGGCTTGTTTCTCAGAGGGGGACCATCATTATTGCCCTCGCTCACCGTGCCATCAGGACGTGTGCGGGACGCAATAACTGGCTCCTCTACGGACTCTAGCAAAGTCGTGATGTCCTGGGGACGGAAAAATATGTCATTAAAGAAAAGCACAACCATCACATCCCCATACGGGTCATCACGCACCTCCTTTTCCCAGAAAGAAAATGAAGCACTGCTCTCGCTACTGTTCAAGACCCCGTCACCCATCAGGTACCGCTCCAAGAACGTTCCGTTAAGGTACGAGTTCATACTGTCACAGGCGCCACTCTGTTCACACTTCCGGGACTCCGTATAAAAGGAAGGGGAAAAAAGACGCATCCCCCATGTATAGAGTGGCTCCAATGCTTTGTTTCGCACACACGCCATCCACTCTATACGAGAAAGCCGCTTTGGCACCTTCGTGTATGCCAGGCATGTGCCCTCAACTGTAGCAAAGACATTCCGGACACCTGCTCGCAGCAAACGTGGGATCAACACGCGCTCAACGAGGACAGCGGTGCGATCCTTTGAATCATTGGTGAAAATAGACACTACCACAGATGTGGAGACGTCAAAGAAGGGTGCAAGTTCATCTTCAATGAACGCCACCAATGCATCAGTAAGAAAAAGGATCATATCCTCATTCTTATAAAGGTTAAGTGCTATGTAGAAGCGCCGCCAGCCATGGGTTGGTGGGCGTGTTGCCGTTTTCCTTGGCAAATCGTAGCGCCGTAGTTTGCCTCGCTTGTCATCAAGCTGAGTGTTCTTCGGTGCAGAAAAAAGGAGTTCAAAAAGTGAGATACCATTGAACGAGGAACTGCTGCCGCTTTTTTCACTTTCGCTACCATTCGAGAGACCTTTTACCCGCAGCCAGGAGGCGTTGTGCGAGGATAAAATGCCATTAATGACCATCTCATCGAACTCCGACGTATGACGTGAGACTTCCCCGGGGTGTTGCAACGAGCTGTGGATCGGCAGCAGAAGTACCTGATTCTCCCTATACTCCCTCCGATAGATGTCGTTGGTGGGGAGACGCACCATCTGGAGTGTGTTGTAGAAGTCCGCCGAGAATGTGGATCTATCACCCCGCACTTGGAGCGCTGGGAGAGATCTCTTGGCTGTCCTCACGATTCGTTCGTTTCTTACTGCCGTCTCTAGGGTATAGAAGAAGGGTTCCGCCACACTGCTCGTTGGCACATCAAGCAGAGTGAGAAATGCGCCGCAAAGGAGAATAATAAAAAGAAGACGCATATAAACGACCCTTTAACGAACGACGGCACCAATCCCTTCAACAACCACCACAACCAAAAAAAAAAAAGGATGAAGACAATGAGGGAAATAATAGATAGGCAGCAGGTACCGTAGAAACAGCGAAGAAATGATGAACCTTGCATCACTCTGATGGAAACTTCGACAATGACATAATCCATTCGTACGATTTTGTGTATACCGAGGCAAAAGAGTAACAACACGTACAGCGCGAGACAACAACATCAACAAGAATACATCTAACATGTACGCTCAACGAAAACAAAAAAACAAAAACAGAGCAGCTCCACCTCCCGTTGTGACCCACACGGATGAACAGAAGGACCTGCCGAATGTAAATCTAACAATGTTATTTACTCGTCTTCCTCCCGTCCCCCACCCCCATTCGTTCTCTCTCTCTCTCTCTCTNACCCAACGCCATAAACACCCTTGAGGACGTCGGGGGGCGGCACGTCCGCGGCGGTCAGAGTAATACAGAGGCGGAGAGAGAAGACGAGAAGGACTTCACACCACCGCCATCGACAACCACTACGCCTTCCCCTGCCCAGCCAAGGTCGCCACTCACCTGTACCACCTGAGGCACAAGGATCACCCGCTTCCGCGCTCTACTCAGCGTTGTTGAGGCGTCGCTAAGAACACTATGGCCATCCGCGGTGTTAGAGGATACTCTCCCGCTGCAGCAGCTGGCTTTCTGCTCGCCCCACCCATCATCCACTGCCACATCCCCCGCACCGTAGTTGTCCTCGTCATCTACCACCTCTGCAAACAAATCTGGTGCTTTCTGGAGAAATTCCCGCTGCTCTGGGTCGTAGTCCAAGTCGGCGTCGCGGTGCGCCGCCTCGAGGCCCTCACGCAGCCGCACGAGCAGTTCCGGCTCCGCCGCCACCTTCTCCCAGCCGTGCCACTCCGGCGCGTATAGTGGGCGAGCGGTGGCGGGGCCTTCACGGTTCACCACCCAGAGATATCCACCACGCGCACCCACGACGACTGCTGTCTCATTTGTCCACGGCCCGCGCGTGAAGCGGATGCACTGCCCGTGGCAGACGCCGAAGTCGTCCTCGCAGAGGCTCGGGTGCGTGGAGAAGAAGCCGACGATGCGGTTGTGGAGGTGGAAGGGCACGTCGCGGAGGACATCGCCGTACTGCAGTGGTGGCGGTTGGGTTTGAAGAAACTTCTGAAGCACCGCTGACGCCACGCGCGTGAGGAAGCTTACCGCCCTAGGCTGCTTCGTGCTCTTGCGTTGCTTGGCGTGCACAACGAAGGGCGAAGACGCGGTGTAGGGAATGGGCGCTGGCTCCTTCACTGAACCGCGTGAGGCCCGCTTCGCATGGCTGGACCGCATCCCGTGGCGCTTAGAATAGGAATCTGCGAGCTGCAAAGGAAGAAAAGGACGCGTCGGCGAAAGCACAGAAGAAAAGAAAAAAAGAACAGAGAAAAACGGATAGATAAAAAATCAGACAAGAATGAGCACCACAAGACAAGCGATACAGAAACCAACTCCGGCAGTCACACTCAAAGGCCTCACAAAAGATGTGTAGAAGCTGTGCCACCAGCCCCCCTCAAACATGTCGCCCACCACCACATCAACAGCAGCACTCATTGCTGCTTCTTTTCCCTCCGTTCTCCCCCTTCACGCAACAGCAACACCCTCGTGGGACAACTCCGTCCTACCCTCCAATACCAGAGCGCAAGGGAAACCACCACCACCACCACCGACGTGATCAGTAGAAGTGCCACCTTCGCTTCCAAAGGCCATTCATGTTCAACACAGTCCTCGTGCTGCATTTCAACGAGGCGTTTGTTCACCAAGAAGAGAGGATCATCCTGCTCCTCGCACGTGGCGGCCTCATAGTCACCGAGAAGTGAAAGAACCCTCTCCGCAATGGCAATCCGCCGCGGCGCAGACTTCAAGAGCCCCAAAAGAAGTCCTTCAAATTCCTCTTCGTTGTCCTCCACGTCTCCCATCTCCGCCGCCGCGGATGTGGTCTGCGCGGTCCCGTGACCATTTTTATTATTATTAGCATCACCATAATCAGCAGCAACAGGGACCCCGCGCCGACAGACAGCAGCCTCTGTGAAATAAGAAACGTCTCCAGTGTACAGAAACCGCATAAGATCATGCACAATACCAAACGAAAACGAGGGCTGGCGGCTCTCATCGGCCACAAGACCCAAAAGTGTGCGACGAACGCGTGCCATTGCCGCCTCGTCGTCGTCATGGTGAAGTAAACTCCCCGAAACGTCGCGGACCACTCGATCCAGGACGCGCAGTGACGCATGTCGATACGGCAAGGCACCGAAGCCGCTAGAGTCCGTAAAGACGGCGACGCGACCCATCGCCCCTCCTGCACCGCTCGTTACATTACCACCACCGTCGTTGCGGGGACCACGCACACCAGCAAAACCAAAAAGAGGAACGAACGCGTCAGGCCCCACGCGCCGCATAACGTCTGCGGCCTGCCTGGGCATTCTGTTGGCTGAATTTTCCATCTCCAGCTTTGCGAGTTCCTGCAGCTCTTTCGCCCACTCCCTCTTCATGCTGCACACCATCGTCGCCCCCGCGCTGTGCCCACGCCCAGCGTGGCCATCCGTGTGATGCACATCTTGCGTTGGGGGCCATTGCAGCGCACCTGCCGAGTTTATACGTCCCACATAGCGGGGTGTGTCCACCCCTCTTGGCACGGCGTTGCGCGGGAAGGAGGCGAATGAGGCAGAATAAGAAGGGGTGTGCACAAGCACCAAATCACCATCCACAACACGGCTTCTGTCGAGCTGCAGTGTCCCCTGACTGAGGTCACGCAGTAGCGCATTGAGCGAAGGGACGTGGCATGCACCGTTGAGTTCATGAGAAACCTTACGGGTTCTCTTTTCAACAGAAGTACCGTCATCCTCGGCCGGCAGAGCGTCATCACTTCCGTGCAGCGCACCAGGTGACCACACAATGTCACGGGTGGCGTCGTAGAAAGATAAGCCTCGCGCCACCCGCCTGCTGTACCACCCACTTATCAGCAACAAGTGGAGTTCGTGGTGCAGAACGGCATCAACAATGATGTCACGGTCGCCCTCCACCAACGGTAGCTCCGGATCGATAAGCAGAAGTGTTCCAATGCTGCGGTAGTAGCGCTGAAGGGCGGCACGGCGTTGCCTTGACACTGCTGCAGTTCCATTCGCGTGGAAGACAGCAGGGAGATAGTTGAGCAGCGGCACTTCCACAAAGAGCCCCATCGTGTGGCGAAGATAGAGTAGCAGCGGTGCCATGTTTGTGTGCGGATGATCACTGTCGCACTCAAAAGCGCCTTGGCTCCGCCGTCTCGTCAAGTGATGCGACGGCGTCGACATTGAATGGGCGTCATCGCTCGGCACAAAGTCTGGCGGATAGAACCACTGGTGGCTGACGTCAAACACCACGCGTCGGTCACGTGGAGGACGAGACACAACTGGAATCTTAAACGGTACTGTGACACAATTATGTCCGCACAGTCCTTCGGCACCTTTCATTCTCTCTGCTGCTGCTGCTGCTGCTGCTGCCACCACCTCTTCCGCAGCCTCCAATTCATCTGAGAAACACGTGTACGCCACCCGCACGTGTCCGGTCACAACAACAAGATCGTAAAACTCCAACACTGCAGCAGGAGTAACACCCAAAGGAGAGGGCGAAGTCAGCTTGGCACTCGAAGCGTTGGCAGGGGAAAATGCGAACATGGAAATCCACCCACTATAGGCCTCGAGCACAGGCGAGGCATCTACTCGCAAAGATAGCAGACGCTCAGCGACCGTTGGCTCAATGTTGGTGCCCAACTTACATTGACCACGCCGCTGTTCGCTACACATACCCCTCGCACCTGTTATCATCACCCGCAGTGTTGATGATGCGAGCCGTGCGGCAGGGCATTTTGGATAATAAAGACTCACGTTAAATGCGATTGGTGTGGCCGAGGGAAACAGTGGCTGCTCGCAGTACGGCCAGTGGAGTAGACATGGTGTTAGAGGCGATGTCTCCTTGTCGCTGTGTGGAAGGTGGTGCGCACCCGTAGCATCAATTTCCCCAGGGAAGGCAAAAAGACCAAGAAACTGCCCTTGCTGTTGCTCCCGGTACTGATCAATCGATGTGAGCGCACACATGAGACACACCTCCCCAGCACCTTGACTTGAGCGGCTGTAGGCCAGAATGTTTCTGTATTGAAGCAAAGTCTGCGTCATACTGATTCCCTCATGTGTGCTTGCGGCACTTTTCCCACTGCGCCACCAGCCGCTTCTTCCTCCGGCAGAGATTAGTGTTTCTTCGCGGTGCAAGGCCTCTCTCACAAGACGCATCGCCGACGAACTCGGACGCACCTCAACGGCTGTCCCCATCAGCAGCCTTTTTATCAGTGCTACGTTGACGTATGACTGCCACTCAGGCACGTCTTGCATTGCCTCCACGCAAAGCGCCACAACTCCAGCAACAAGCGGAGCCGCGACGCTCGTGCCGTGCGACACACGCAGCGCCAACGCGCCGCTGTCGCCATCACGCCCGACGCCCAGCACGTGCTCACCAAGCGCCACGAGGTCTGGTCGTATACGTGCAGCGCCATACGGCAGCTCCCACGTACTCGGCCCCCTGCCGGAGAACGCCGACACCCAGCGCGCCGCTTCACGTGTGGCGGATAAATTTGCATTACTAGTACGGCTGCTGCTATTGTTGTTGTTCTTCTTGAGGAATGAAGAGAGGCGCGATGCGTCTGTGCCGAGGGCTCCCACTGCCAGCACCTCGGCGTGGTCAGCGGGGTTGTGCACGGAGCCCGGCACAGGGCCCTCGTTGCCGGTCGCTGCCACAACAACAACACCAGCCGCCGCCAGCTCGGTGATCTTGTCAGTGAAGGTGGCGTCGTAGTAGTCAACACCGCCAAAGGAGAGACTCACAATGTCCGCTCCCCACTGGAGGGCGGCGTTCAGCGCAGCCACACACCACGAGGTGCGGGACTCGCGCGCATCATTGAACACGCGCAGCATGTGTACATCCGCGTTGGGGGCCAAGCCTAAATACCGCACCCTGGAGAGCGGCAACTCCACCCCCGCATCACTGCTATTACTGGTCTTGTTGCTGTGGTTGATCGTTATGTTTTCGTTGGTATCCTGCAGATTCCCGTCATGTGCGTCCGACAGAAATGAGACATTTCCCGCCATAACCGACACGCTGAAGGTCCCGTGACCATCCTGGATGGTTTCGCACGGCAGCCCCGGCACAAAACTCGTGCACATGCGTAAAGGGCGAGCCTCGCCCACATTTGAACTGTCCTGCTGCTGATAGGACGAGGAAACCAACAACGGGTCTAGTCCCGTGTCGAGAAGCGCAATTCGAACACCTCTTCCGGTCCATTTCATTTGTCTTGGCAACTCAAAGTACCGCCGCGGGTACCGCTGCCGCTGCTGTTGCCGCCGCTTTCTCCCAGGCGCCGTGCCTCGAGGCGGTGAAGACGACGCAAGAAAGCGCGGCATCGGCAGCGCCGCGTCCTCCACAACCCGAACAACAGAGATCCGACCAATACGAGGAAGGACGAGAAAGACACCGCGCAGCCACTCGCTCACGCACCCTCGCTCACTACCCCTCTGTAGCGACGCATTGACACGCAACAACAAAAAGTCCTGCCACGCCGCCACCTGTGGAGGACGGGCAGAAAGAAAAACGGCGCTTCCGAGACACGCACCGCTCGCCCTGTTCCAGCGCCAGTGCTGTTGGAGATCCGCGGCAACAGCGGCAGCAGTTTCGGGGTGAAGGCAGCTGTCAACGACAACAACGTAGGAGGAGATACCACGACGAGGCGGCACTGCAACCCCTCGCACCACCGGCGCAAAAAGGAGTAATAACGGCAGCAGCAGTGCCAGGAATAAGTGAGGCTTAGCCAGACGGCCACATTGCACCATGGACGTTGAAATCCACTGCGTGCATCCCATCCTACTTGCTCAGTCGATACCACAGATTGGGTGGGAGAGTACACAAGGCACTGGCATTTCGCACACACACACTCACACACACACAGGCACACAGTAGTTCCCCGCCTCCGTCCGTCCGACCGCCCGCCCACGAAGGAGGCGACTCCACTCAGCGGCCGATGTCGAAAACACACACACACGCGCACGCAACCAAAGAGTGAACCACAAAAACAAACAAACAAAACCTTCATCGAACTACGCACTGGCACGAAGGAAAGAAGAAAAAAAAAAAAAACGATCAAAACACATAACTATGACACAAAGTATAGAGATAATTTCTCATTAATCTTCTCTCTCTATCCCCCACCCCCACCGCTCCCTACTTTTCTTTTTGATTCACTTACCTGGCAGAATCCACAACACACTTTTGCTGAAGCACTTCATCAGAGCTTCCTGAAGAATCCGGCACTGTCTTCACTTGCATCTCCTCTGATTCGGAGATGCCGTTATGCTCTCGTTAAAGTAGCTGCACCCTCACGAGAGCACATGGGGCAGCAGACTGTAGTGCCACGTCCTGCAGTTCGGCGTGGGACACCGTTGCGTTGATGCCTTGCCGCAGTGGCCTCTGCAGGAACGGCAGCGTGTCGTCGCAGTTCAGAAGGTCCCGCGACATGCGCTCTTTGAGCGCCTGCAGGCAACTAATCATCGCCGCAAGTTCCCACCGCTGCGTGTGGGCGCAGTCGCGTAAGGCCCACAACCACCGCCGCCTCGCACGCGCCCGGGCCGCAGACAATTCAGCCCGCATAGCGTCCAAGCGCGCGTCAGTAGTATCGTGAATGCAGCCAACAGACGCGTCGATGGCATCGAGTGTGTCAAACGTGCCGCTCCCACCAGCGCCCACGCGGAACACCTCAAGCAGAACCTCCTGTAGCTCCCGCAGCGTGAGTGCCGCGAGGCCTGCCAACGGCTGCGGTGGAGCACGTGAAGGGCAAGAAACAACGAAGCAGTCATGCGCTCGCCGCCACGCGTGGTAGACACCGTGCTCCACAGCGTGCACAAGCGCGTTGGCCTGCAACAGTGACTCTGGGACTGCCGTCTCGCGGCCCCGCTGCCCCAACAGTGTGGAGAGATGCAGAACGCAGGCACGAGCCTCGTGGCTGTGCGTCAGCGCCGCCCCGCCTGGAGCGTGCGTCAGACATGCTGCAAGATCTTCCATCGCCGCACCCTCCGCCTCGCACGCGGTGAGGAGGCTCAGCATTTTCTGATGCGCGAAGCTCCAGGCGGCGTCGGTAAGGCGGTGCCTGTCACCAATCTCGTGGAAGGTCCACACAGCTGTCGCACAGGAGGAGGCCTTCTTGAGGCTCATAAAGACACGGTGAATCGCGCCGCTCGCCACGAGCGCGGGTGATATCTGCGCTGGCCTCAACTCGCGCAGCGGCAGTTGGCAGCAGGAGGTGGCGAACTGCCGTTTCGCACGCCACCACCACGATCGAATCGCCGGCGTTGACATGAGCATAGAGTGAATGTCACTCTCCCCACTGCTAGGGTTTCTGCTGTTACTATTGTTTTTCCTGGATGAATTTTTGCTCTCAGTCGAGAGAGCGGCACTGCGTTCGTATGCCTCATCAAGGGCGAAGTGAAACACACCTGGAACTCGACCTGCTGTTCTCACCACAGACGATTGTGTATTCGTAGCCATCCATGCCTCGAAGGCCTCGGTGGGCGTCGAGACAAAGCGCAGGAGCGTTTGGCCTACCCCATCACCACCCAGTGTGTCACCACTTCCCTCACCTCTGACTTCAGCAGATGGAACTCTTTTGCCACCTTTCATAGGGGCCTTCTTGTGCTCTGAGAGGTTCAGCGCGCTGAACAACCACAACAATGACGACAACTGAAGAACACCTTCCCCTGACGCTGCATGGCGTGCGCTCGTTGGGAGTGGTAGCACCAATCCGAACGGCCCCGCACTTTGTGTGTCCACCCCAAGCCGCCAGCGCAGCCAGTAGAAGTCGCGCAGTGTGCGCACAACGCCGCCGTCTTGAAAGTGTACCGTTGCGAGGTCGCCGCTGTGGGCCTCACGGAATCGCACGGTGGTGCGCACGTCATAGCACGGCTGAACAGCGGAATCCACACCACTCGGAACATCGGAAAGTGGATGAATACTGAGCTGCAGCAGCTCCACTGATTCTCGGATGTTGCCGCCGTCGCTGCTGCTGCTGCTACTACTACTAATGCCACCAGTGACGCCCATCGATGCCACACAATGAGCGAGAAAGGATGCCTATGTATGTGTGGGTCTACTTGTGTCTGTGACAAATGGGGGAGAGAGGGTCGCCCCGTTCTCTCAGCCCTTTATGCAAGGCCCCCCTGCCCACCATTTAAAACCGAAACAAAGAAAAAAAAAGATGAAGCGGAAAAAAAAGGGGGAAAATAACCAAACTCTAACAATGTGAGCACCGTGCGTCGTGACCCCCCCCCCNCCCCATGACCAGCCAGTAACCAAACGTATCCGTAGCCAGTGTGTACTCATACATAATACGCGTGGGAGGAGACAGCGCACCAGCCACTTGTCACATATACACGCCTCTAAATAACCCCGCTCTTGCTGCTGCTAGTACCTGCATTTCAGTTCGCATTCTCTACACCTGACGCAGAGACGAGTGGTGGGGCGCGTGTGTTGGTGTTCAGCAGACGCTCCGCCAGCCACCGAATCGGATTTTCTGGTTTGGCCTTCGACAACTCAACGAGGGCAGGCAGCAGCGCGCCTTTCAGCTCCGCCTGCACGTACTCACGCGAACCAGCGGCATCCGGCACATCGTGCACCAACATGCGTGGGAAGAGCAATTGAACCACCTGCTTCGCCCCGACTGCTGTGGCATTGCAAAACAGGGGGCACTGAAGCCCTGATCCCTGGTGCTGCTCTTGTTGTTGTGCACCCGCACCGCCGCCTCCCTCGCGTGCAGCCTTTTCCTGCAGCGAGATCAGCAACGATGTGTAATCCTCGTCCGCGAAGAGGCGGTCAAGGAAGCGTAGCAGCTCCGTGTGGCAGTCGCGGTGCGCCAGCACGTACAGATAGGCGTGGCCGACGAGCTCCTGCGGGCCAGTAGGCACGGCCGTGGCGTGGGCGTGCGTGAAGATGCGGTGGGCACTCACGGAGCTCTCAATCCCCGCCGGCGGCTCGCTGCCGCTGAGGAACGCGGCCCGGTCGAGCTGCACGGCGATGGTGTCGGCCAGCTCGTCGTTGACGCGGCGGTACTCCTCGCGAACGATGATGAAGCCGGCGTCGTGCAGTTTGTACTTTGTCATGGACAGCACCTCCCGCTCATTGGCGTACGACGGCCGCACGAAAAGAGCGGCCTTCGTCACGACGCCGCTGAGTGCCGAGGTCATGTGGCTAATACTCCTGTTGCTGCTACTGCTGCTATCACACACGCTCCGCGTCCCACCGCGTTGCGTCAGCAGCAGGGGGAGAGAAAGAAAAAAAAAAACGAAAGGGACAGAGACAGAGAACAGAGGGAAGGCGGCACAAGAAAGGCACAAACACGAAAACAAAAAAAAACGCGCCCACGGAGTACGGACGCAACTTTCCCCATTCCACGGCGACAGCACAGCCACCAGAGGCGACTGCGTGCAGAACGGGACGCTCACTAGAAGAAGGGGCGGCGCGAAAAACAAAGCAATTGAGAAGAAGAACGCCAACACGAGGACAAGGAAGAAACAACAACAACAACAACAAAACTACCCAAACAGTCGAAGAAGAAGAATATGGGTGAAGATCGTCACGAAGAAAACGAATAACGGCTGCCAGTCCATGATTGGAGCAGGAGAGACGGGAGGAGCAGTGAGCACCCCCCGGCCCACACCCACACACCTTCCCTTCTGCAGACAGACTGCCCCTTCCTCCTCCCATCTGCGCAGGAGGCGAGTGAAGGCGAGGACCGATATGTGGTGAGCGCAAGGAAACAATCCAAGAGCATGCGCCCACCGGTACCCATACCAACAGCTGCAGCAGAAAGAGAAAGAGAGAAAGAAAGAGAGAGCACCATACTCCCAGGGGAACACCAAAAAAAAAAAAAAGGTGACAGAGACAATTTTATACATAAGAAAGACACACACATACACACACTCGCCGCAAGCCGCAACAAACCTACCACGAAAACATTCCCCTACATGCAAAACGATACATCATAGTGGTGAACGTTGCTTCCCTCATTCCCTCCTCTCTGTACTACTCTTCTTCGTTTTACTACTCACTCCTTTCCACGCCATTGGCCACACCACACCACACCACACCAACACACGCCTCGCCGTCTCCCCCAATCATTCACACTTCCAACCGAGTGGAACAAAAATCGCCCAAACTGCTTTCTGCAATGATGATGACAGAGAATAGAAGGACCCACATATATAGATAGAATGGGGGAGGGAGAGAGAGAGAGAGAGAAAAAAAAAAAAAGGAAGGACATTTGGGAAGAGGGATTAGGGAAAGGGAAATGGCTGCATAAAAACTTCTTCATCTTCTTCCATTCAAGCGGTTTCCCCTTGTCCATCGCTTCCCTACCCACCAAAATCATTCCTGCATTCCACAGCGCTCTACATCAAAATGCCTGAGTGCTTCCACCTTCGCGTCTGACTAGGCAAGCGCACAGACTCCCACAGAGCGTGATATCTACTTCATAGCGGTCGAAGCCGACTAACAATCTCGTGCACTAGCAGCTCTTGCACACTATGGGTCTTACTTTCCTGCGGCAACCACACCTGACACGGGACACGGCCAGCGCCGCCGATACCAGACGCCCTATCTCCCGCACGCGGGGAGGCGTGCGGCAGCGAGCCACTAGCGTCCAACCCGGACCGCGCGCCGGTGCCCTGACTGCTTGACGGGGACACTTCTAGAGTATTGCCACGCTCGACTCCCCGCTCCCCTCGCGTCGGTTGCATTTTTGGGGAAACGCCACTCGCAATAGAAATGGTTGGAAGCGACGAACGCTTTCTTGATGTTGCGCAATTATTTACAACACGAGTGTTAGTACCGCCACCGGCGTTGTTTTTGGCGCCGGTGCGATGTTCATTTCTAGCACCGCCCTTATTCGTCGGTGTCGTGGTCGTTGAGTAAGATAAGCGCGGCGGTTGCTGCCGCAGCAGCTCGGGCGCCTGCAGAGGAGTTTCCAATTGACAAGGAAAGCCGCCAGTGGCTCCCACCGTTGAAAGCGGCGGTATCTTCGTGGGCAGCAGGAAGGAAGCGCGTGGCGTGCCGTCGCAATCGCTGCGACTCACCTGCCTCTCCTGCGGCGACGGGACCATGGGTGCGCGTTTCGTCCAGTTTTTCGCCTTGCCAGGGCTCCTCGTTATCTTGCCGTTCCATGGCGTTACCTTCAATGTTGGGCTGCGTGGCTTGCTGCCAAACGAGCCTTCAGTCTGCAACGAGGCGGAAAGCGGCGTACATCCGCTAGGGGACATGGAGAAAACCGCGGAGGTGGGCACCGACCCCTGCCGCAGGCTAGCGGACATACTGGATTGCCGCAAGTTAGGACGGGGGTGCACCATAAGCTTCGGCGGTCCCTGAAAGTTCAGGGGTGCTTGTATGATATCATGCATAACGGTGCCAGTTAGTGCCCCCAGATTCACGGCGATTGGAGATGTCTCCGGCTTCACAGAATGCGCCAAGAAAGGCATCAGGCTGCGGGCGTCTGGCGTACTATTTGTCACGCCGGAACTGCGTTTCTGTGGATATCCAGCACTATCACACACCACTTGTTGTTGTTGTTTTTGTTGCTGCTTCTGCTGCTGCTGCTCTCCAAGGTTCTCTTCCTCCTCTGTCCTTACCACAATCGCACCTATACTTGGGGTGGGTCCGGCATCCGATGGGCGTTGCGTCTCTTGAAACGGCCCTGCATTGTCGTTGCTGGCCAAACCGTTTAGGGTCGTAGTCGTGCCGAATATATCGTGCGCATTCGATGGGAACTGTTGCCTGGTGTTGCCAGTGTTGCAACTACTGGTCCCTTCTTCAGGCTGCGAGGAAGTGATCGTACCTAGATCGTACATATACTTTTGTAGTTTGCCCTTTTTTTTCTCGTTCGCTCTCGAAAAGGAATATGTGCTGCCTGTGTTGTTGCTTTGTGTGCAGCAACAACGACAACGATGAGGTATATATA